CCGCGCGGTTTACGCGCCACTTGTGGCGTTTCCGCCCGACGAAAATCGCGGAAACCCGAGCTTTTAATCATCGTCGGTGTTTTCCAACTGCCGTTCGAATCATCCATTGTCCACAGGTTGGACGTGGGCCGCTACCGTCCACGTTTGTGACGCGATAATTTTCGCGAAATTTGCGGAGACACGCGGCTCTCATTCGCGTCGATCGCGCGATTGTCTTCCCGCAAAATGAGATTGTCAACCGCGTGGCGGCGCGCTTTTGCCCTCCCCCGGCAACCAAATGAGAATTTCGTTGTTCCATCGTCTCTCTCGCGTCTCACTCTCCTCTTTTTTCCTCCTTCCCTTCTCTCGTGTTAATCATGGATGGAACGAGCGATCATCGTCGGCCGATAACGAGCCGAGGAACTTGGCGAGGGAATAATCGATCGTTTCGAATCGAGCTTCTGACGCGAAATACGCGGATCGAAGAAGTAGCGGCAGATAATAACGTTATTTCATCGATCCTTGGATCGAAAGAAAGGTTTAGACGCCTATATATGTATATACATATGTATGTACGAATATAAATTCAGAAATAAGCTTTTCATTTCTTGGAAGCTCGAGTAGTCGGGAACGATCAGCAAGAATGGAAAGTAAAGGTAATAATAATCCACGACCTTTAAAGGTGACGAAACGCAAGTTTTCGCGGGTGGAAGGAGGGGAAAAGCCGGCCGGTTGTCCCGCTAATTAGTCATAGCTGCAAATCGTAGATTCTACGGCCAGGTATTTGACATAGCTTTATTATTCTCGGGCTCGTTGCGGGGTCCAGGTATATATACGCCAACTCGGTCAGAATGGCTGGATGGCAATCGACCGACAAACAAAGGGTACCGTTTACGGTCAACTGCCAACTGCCGTATTCTCAACTGCCGAGTTCTCCCTGAACGTTGACCAACAATTAGCAATAAATTCTCGCCCGTTCCTTAATATTCGGCCCCAAGTCGAAGTCGAGGCCGCATTGTCGTCGCATCTCGACCACCACGACTCCCGCTGCATACGTACGTAACTTTTGCTCGCGTCATTCGTGCGGTTTTCATTACGCCGCACTGTCGCCGGACCCGTCACGATGCTTCCCTCATTACCCTTTCCCGCTTTGATTTATTGCCCGTTATCCCGCGCCTCCTCGCCCGCCTCGCGAGACAGAAGCGGCCGAGGAGAGCGATTCGTGACGATCTCGCTTACGAGGTGATAACGAGGCGCAAGAGTCAGCCCCGACGATTAGAGAGATCGATCGATTGACTCATTCGGGGGGACCTTGCACTTCGTTTATCGGCCCTGGTAATCTTATCGAGACGACCTTGTCGGCTTATCGAGACAGCCGCTGTCCGCTCGATCGCGCGACATCGATCGATGATGATTGCAACGATTTCTGAAATCGAACTCTTTCGATTCCGTCGTCACCACTTGTAATCGTGAAATTCTTATTATCCGTCCAAGTTAGAGTAGATTTTTTTTTCCCTTCTTCTTTTTTTTTCCGTTTTAATTACTGAGGAGGAGGAGAAGAAGGATGGAGCGATGTAAGTAAACTCTCGAAAGAATTTCACCGAGAAAATCGTGTGTTGAGACGACGGATAGTAACGAAGAGAGAAAGGAAAGGAAAAAAGGGGAAAGGGAGGGAAAAAAAGAGAAATAGAGAGAGAGAGAGAGAGAGAGGCATGGTGGGATTCGTCGAAATTGAACGAACGACGGTGAACGTTCGAATGGAGCTCCATCCGAGCTGCCGTTACTTTCATTGTCGGTGACGCACGCCGGGGTTGCGCTACGATTATCTATGACGCATTCTTCCATTATGCGTTTCGCTCTTTCTCTGCCTTTCTCCCGCCCCGATTCTCCCTGTCTTTGTCTGGCTTTCGTGCCGCGGCAACAGGTCCTACGCATGAGCCGCGCTTAAACGGAGTCGCATCGGCCGATGGAAGGTTCTTTCAGGAACGGAGAAGCATCGTCAGCCTCTTTGTGAATTTCACGAACGAGAGAGATGGTGACCGAAGAGAGGCCCGAAGGATTCGACGAAGAGAGGAGGAGAAGAGGGGAAAAAAGAAAGAAGAGAGAGGGAAAGAGGGAAGAGGAGGAGGAGGAGGAGAAAATGGGTCAAGTCGAGCGGATATAATGGGTGATTTGAATACGACGAAGCGCGACGAAGCAAGCTAATGCAATCGGCAAATTAGCTAAAAAGGAGAGATACTTGTTCGACGTACGACTTTCGACTGGTAGTCGAGGGAAAGTCGAGTGTGTTTAAATGATACGAGGACGCGACTTCGATTTACGAATTTTGCTCGAACGAAGAAGGAAAAGGAGTAAAGTAAAAAGCTCGTGTTGGATCGTCATCATCGTCGTCGTCGTCGTCGTCGTCATCATTGCGACGAGATGACGAACCGATGATCGACTCGTGGCTTTCTTCGAAAAAAAAAATAATAAAAAATAAAAAAATAAAAAAATCGCGGAAAGAAAGCGCCGATACGAGAGAAAAAACGCGATAAGATTACGATTGCCTGCGCAGTAGAATATATACTCTTGTTATACACGTGTACAAAGCGGACAGTCGAAGTTATCGAGCGTCTTGTTCCCTTCGCGACTAACACCGCGACGAATCCCGTTGTTGAAACGTTCTTCATTTACATTACATGCAACAATTTTGCAAAACTATTCTGTCTCTATTACTACCATCACTACTGCTATTACTGCTACTACTAGTATTACTACTACTCTGTCCACACGCGAGCTCCACGACTGGCCTCCAATCGAAGAAAACGTGTACGCGTTGTAAGGGTTGTAACCTCCCCTCTCTCCTCTAACCCTCCCCCCTCCGAATCGCGAAAATCGAAGTTAGGCCATGGAATTCGAAGGTCAGCGGNCGCGCGACACGATTCGCGCGCGAAGGCAGGCGCGGCGCGGCCGTGTCGTTTCGTCGTGGATCCGTGGTGGATAAAGAAAGAGAAGAACGAAGAGGGGGTGAGAAAGGAGAGACACGCGCTGATCTCGCGCGTGGAGCGTAGGGAAACGACACGAGGCGACTACGAAAGGGAGGAAATTGGCGGAGAGGAGGAGGAGGAGAAGGAGGAGGAGGAGGAGAAGGAGAAGAAGGCAGGCAGGCAGGGTCGGTCCAGCGTTGACGAAGGTTCCATGCGTGTCCGGGGGTGGAAAGGGGTGAGTNGGGTCGTCGACGACTGGTCGTCATCGTCGCAGCCTTCCTCCTCTTTTCGACGTTCGCAGAAAAGACAATAGTGCGGCGAGAAAAGTGAAAAATTTTATCCCCATCCACGATAAGTGGAGGATCGGTTATGCGTGTATGCGACGCGAAGTGATGTGATCGAACTGTTTCCCCGGATCGGGTTCGAATCGTTGCATCGAGTAGTAGTCGAAGAAACGGAGAGGAAACAG